AGAAAATCTGTGCCAAATTCCAGCAAGAAAAAAATCCTGCCTACAACCCCAAAACTTCCTTCTGAGTTAGGAAAAAAATCACCTCCACCTCCCTTGCCTCACCTCACATTGAAGACTGCAAGGGAGAAAAAATTTACCACAGAATATCCAGAGGGGGAAGGGACCTGCCAGGATCATGACAAGGTCATACAGAGATCCATCAGTGCATTAAAAGCTTGACTTTTCAACTTGGCAACCATCAGATCTTTCTGGATGTCACCCTGCTCCTATCTTAATTCCCTGGTATGGAAAAATTAACTTTGGGAAAGCATGCCTACATCTCTGATCAGTCCCTACAGCCACAAACCAGAGAATCCCAGAATGGTTTGGGTTTGGAAGGGATCTTAAAAAATCCTCTTGTTCCAGCCCCTGCCATGGGCAGGGACAGCTTCCACGAGCCCAGGTTGCTCCAAGCCCTGCCCAACCTGACCTCAGACACTTCCAGGGATGAGACATCCAAAGCTGCTCTGGGCTGCCTGTGCCAGAGCCCCACAGGGCTGAACTCTCTCCCAATATCCCAGCTCAATGTCCCTCCTTCGGCTTAAAGCCATTTTGAGTGTGACCACGTTTTTCTGCTGCAGGGATGAGGTGGCCAGGGCTTGAACATGGATCCTGCTAGAAAATGTGATTTCAATCAGGAATAGTAGCGTGTGCCTCCAGTGGGAGCATTTTAGAGTTGAGGTACAGACAGAAGAAACTACGTGTCCCATGGAATAAACTTTATGTAATAAACTGGAAAATAAAATAGGGAAAAATCCATATTTATTCCCCAAAGAGGGGCAATTCTTTGATATTGTACTCTGAGGCTCAGCTTAGTTCACCACAAGGGATGTGCTTTGGTTTCCAGCAAAATAACTGCAGTGAAACAATAACTGTGGCCAGTGCCACATCCCTGGGAATGCCTGGAATATGAGCAAGATTCAGACCTGACTGGCATTCCAGGAACTATCCTGCTTCCCATAATTCTCTGACACACCATCCCTACTCGTTAGGAAGCTGATGGCAGTGGGGACACCCCAATCCCAGCAGGATGTGGATCAGGAGTCCTCAGCCACAGGCTGATGGAAAAGCAGAATTCATCCCCAAACCTGCTGCCACTTAAAATTCCCTACAGCTCCCTGGAAGGAGGTTGGATCCAGATGGGGGTCAGTCTCTCTTCCCAAGGAACTGGACAGGAGGAAATGCCCTCAAGTTGTGCCAGGGGAGGTTTAGGTTGGACATTAGGAAAAAATTTGGTTTGAATATTGGAACCAGGGAAGTGGTGGAGTCACATCCTGGGAGGAATTTTTAGTTTGGGACATAGTTTAGTGGTTGGACTTGATGATTTTAGAGGTCTTTTTCAACCTTAATGATTCTGTGAGTTCCTGACTATGTTTCCAGCTCTGCCAGTAACTTCTCTGGGACAGCAAAGGACATTTTTCTTTATCAAGTGTACACAGAACTAACATTTATCCATCAAGTTTCCATCTGTCAGGATACCTAAAAAGGAGGAACACCTGTGCTTGTATAAACCTTTGTGTCTTGGCTGAAAACCCCTCAAAAAGAGGTTCTAAAAATAATATTCTACCCTTGAAGCTGGAGAAATTCTTAACAATAAATAAATATGATGATTGAATTTTCCCCCCTTTTTCTTAAAGAGACTGAAAGTCTGTTCCTCCATCCCATTCTTCTCTTGGTGTTTCCTTAAAATCTGACAATTTAGGAGTTCATGGGAAAGGAGCTCTGTGTTTAGTGTGATTCAGTAAGTGCACTGGAATACCCTGGGGATGGCATTTACATTAAAATCCCTGAAAAACTGATCCCTAAAAATGGCCAGCACCATTCCTAGGAATCCCCACAGGATGCCTGTCCTGTGCAGACATCCAGTTCCAGTTTCATCAGCACTTTTCTGACTTTGGAGCTGAGGGAGGAGAGAGGAACAGCAAGGTCAGGATAAGCATCCTATCCTGGAAAGGACTGAGGACAATGGGACACGCTGCCAGCAGAGGTTGGGAAAATGCCAGGCCTGGGGAGAGAGACTTGGGAGCTTGACTTTGTGGTGGTTTATTTAAAGGGGAAATCAGAGAGAACAGCAATGCAAGCAAATGGAGCAGACACAGGAAATTTCCTTTCTGCTCTGGGATGAGGAAGGGTTCAGGGGTACTCCAGGGTCCTGATGACCTTGTTCATGCCCACAAGGCACAGAGCTTTCTGCTGGTTAAAGAATGTTAGGATTCATGTCATGGAAGGGGTTGGGATAGGCCCAGGATGCTCTGCAATGCAAATGAAAGCCAGACTTACACTAAGGTTTGTTTTATCACTGCCACCAGAAGAAACACTCCATCGTTTTATAACCTAAACGTACATAAAAGAGAAAGCATTCTTTTGTTGCTCCCTTAATCCCTGTTATCTGCTCCTTGTCTTCTCAGGGTGAGCTGAAGATGGGGCCTGAGCTCCAATGGAGTCCTCAGCAACAAATGGTAGAAAAAGGGCTGGAAAAAACCTATTTATTTAACTTTGCATTGCTTTGGATGTTTTTTAAACCAATACCCACTCCTGACTTGCCAGTCCTGCTCTTCACAAACTCCCCCTCTCCTGTTACATCCAAGGGAAAATTCCCAACTTGAAAAAGATTCAGTCAATATGCAAGAGCCACCTTCAGAACCTCCTTCAGCAGCTCAAAGCTCTTTGATGCTGACAGCGGCAACTTTAATTCTACACAGATGCATCTCTGAAATGCTAAAACCTTCCCAATCTATAAACCCCTCCTGCAAACAGACCACAGATTAGCTTTTACACCGGATTTAAGCATTTTTTGGGGTTAACAGCTGTGTCATACTGAAATAAGTGCAAAAAAAACCCAAAACCCAGAGAGGTGACACTGAGACTCGCTGGGATTCTGGGCCAGGCAGGATTCTTTGATCTGAACCTGGAGATCCAGTGCCTCTCACTCTGTTACACTGGACAGCCCACAATGACATCTTGCCACACGCAATAAAAGCAGGATTTTCTGGGGTGGCATCTCTGGAGCTCAGCACAGCAATGCTGTGAGGTCAGAACACAGAGCAAAGGATCTGTAGGGCTCTGCTTCCCTCCAAAAAACCCCAAACCTCTTGTTCCATCGCCCTCTGAGCTCTGCTCTTCCCTCCAAGGGAGCCCCATCCAAATAAGCCCCACCAATCTGCCACATTGCAGGGGGTGCAACATCCTGGATCTCTCTTAGGATCATGGAACTGAGGTTGGAAAAGACCTCCAAGATCACTGACCCAAGTGTTAACCCGGCATTGCCAAGGCCACCACTAAACCGTGTCCCCAGGTGCCACAGCTATGTGGTTTTTGAACACTTCCAGAAACGGTGATTCCACCACTTCTCTGGGGCAGCCTCCTCCAATGCTTGGCCTCCCTTTCACTGAAGAAATTTTTCCAAATATCCAACCTGAACCTCCCCTGGTGCAACTGGAGCCGGTTCATTTTGTTCTGTCACTTTTTACCTGGGAGAGAAGACTGACCCCCACCTGGCTCCAACCTCCTGTCAGGGAGTTCAAGAGAGCAGAAGGTCCCCCCTGAACCTCCTTTTTCTCCAGGCTGAGTCCCCCCAGCTCCCTCAAGTGATCCTCCTCAGACTCGTGCTCAAGACCCCTCCCCATCTTTGTTGTCCCTCTCTCCCCAGCCCCTCAATGTCTTTCTTGTCATGAGGGGCTTTGATTACAAATCACCAAGAATTGCGATAATCAGCTCACCTTGCCTCTCTCCTGAGTGCAAGGAATTCAATTTCTCACTGTCAACCTGGCTCTGCCGCTTGTTTTTCCCTTCAGCTGGAGCTGTAAGAATTCCTTGCAGCCCTTCAGTCCTTGCCCAGCAGGCTGAGACACATGGAAGGTGTCATCTGCCTGCTCTTCCTTATTTTATTATCTACAACACAAATTATTATAGAGGCTCCTGATAATTTTTTCCAGTCTCAGATCTCTGCCCCTATGAAAGGCTGAGAGGTCCTTCCCTAAGTCTGTGTCCTTTAAAGGAATCCCCTTTTCCCTGGAACTTTGCTCCTGACAAGTAAAAACATGGATATCACAGGATCACAGGTTTGGGTTAGAAAAGACGATAAAAATTATTCCATTCCACCCCCCTGCCATGGGCAGGAACACCTTCCACCATCCCAGGTTGCTCCAAACCCCATCCAACCTGGCCTTGGACACTTCCAGGGATGGGGCAGCCACAGCTTCTCTGGGCAACCTGTGCCAGGGCCTCAGCACCCCCAGAAGGAATTATTTCTTCCTAATACCCAACCTAACCCTCCTCTATTTCAGATTAAAGCCCCTGCCCTTGTTGGTTGTCACAGTCTTGTCACTAAATGACCTTGCCAAAGTCCCTCTCCAGCTCCTGTAGGGACTGAAAGGCCACAACAAGCTCATCTAGGAGCCTTCTCCAGGCTGAACAATCCAAATTTTCCCAGCCTTTCCTCATAGGAGAGATGTTCCAGTCCTTGGAGAACCTTCATGGCCTTATCTGGACTCAGTCATTTATGCATGCTCCTATCACAGGCGATCAGCTGTCACAAATTAACTACATTTAATAAGCTCCAGTCGCCCAAATGGGCTCCCCACATCACACCTTAAATCCCAGTGCTGTGGCCATCCTAAATATCCTTCACTGCTACCCTGGCCTCTGCCTCAGCCCCACAAAGGAGGGGAGATGCTTCCCCTCTTTATGGCCTCTCCACTTTCCCCCCAGATTTCCTCATGGTCAATTTCCAGTTCCTGCCTAGGAGTGGATGAATAGGGCACAAAGGGATGACATGGGTGGGAATGCCAAGGACACAGGGAAAGCGACACCATGGACAGACATGGGGACAGACATCCTCCTCCCAGGCTGCTGTGTGGTGCACGTGTGGTTTTTTGCAACATGCATGGTAGAAAACCAATTTCCTGCTGTTTCCCGTGTTCCTGCTGGCACCAGAGGGCTTCTGGAAGTGTCTGACTAACCTTGCTGTCCGTTGTTGGAGACTCCTTCTCCTTCTCTGCGTGCTGGAGTTTTCTGTTCAGGTCCTGGAACATGTCTTGGTGACGTTTCCTTGTGTGCATGATTTTCTGCAGCAAACACAAAGGGACACAGGTCAGCAAACCCCGTTCCTCAGGAACACGTCCTCCCACCAGAGTTACACGATTAAATCCCAGCTCTGTCTTCCTGCAGGTGCCTTCAGCACATACTCAGGACCCACTGCAGCACTGCCTTTACTTTCAAGGTGAGATGGTGGGAGAAAGTGGAAAAGACTAATTTTTGACCTGAAAAAACCCCTTAAACTTGCAACAATCAAATTTTTATGCTGCAGAATTTGAGCTTGACTGTTAATGTCCTAAGGAAGGTTTGCTGCCCTTCCTTAACTGATACCTGTCCCCATGCCCAGCCTTTCCTGTTTGTCACCTCTAAATGTGCTCAGATCTCACCCAGACACGTAGAATTCAGGTAATTTCATTAGAAACTGTTCCACAATCTCATTTTCTTTATAATTTGTGTCTGCATTTTAATTCTATCTTCTGCTCAGAAGGAAAGGCAGGACAATTTCTAGAAGGACTTCTCTTTCCATGTATGAGCAGGCTGAATATGGATTTCCTGTGCTCTGGCAAGGGTGAGATAATGCCTCAAAAAATTTGGGACCAACATTCAGAACGGGGTGTACTCACCTCGAAATCTAACTCTGCGTACCGGGATTTCCGCCTCTGGGCATTTGGGAGAGAAAGAAATGGGAAAAGGTTAGTAAATAAAACAAGAAGAGTCTTTCTCCTTTCCCTTTTCCTACACTTTTAATGTTTTTTTTTCTGGCTCTTCATGATGGGAAGTGCCAAATATTTAGAGTTATTGAGTCATTTATGCTGGAAGGAATCTTAAAATCTACCAGTTCCAACCTCCTGCCATGGGCACGGACACTTTCCACTATCCCAGGTTGCTCCAAGCCCTATCCAGCCTGGATCACTGGGGTTTTCTCATCTGTATCATGACTGAAACCATCAAAATGGGAAATAGGGCAGAGGATAGAAAGGGGAAAAGATAAGGCAGGTCATGTGCCTGGCATTAAAATCAACAATCTTTGACAAATTAACAATTTTTTTTTTTTTTTGACTTTGCAGCACCCATAGGGCTAAAAATATTTGATCCAGCAATGGAATGTGCTCTGGAAGTTGTGACATCACATTCCAAAATATGAGCACACGCCTCTCAGGGTAATATGGCACTGGCATTGCATCCTGGGCTGCATTTTCCCTAAAGTTCTTCTTCCCAACCCCCTGGAGTGGCCGGATGGGAGGGCAGAACACCGCCCTGGGCTGAGAACGACACTGCAATTCCCACGCTCACCTCCAAGGAGCTCATGGAGAGGGTGGAGACGGTCTCGCTCTTGGACACCACACCCGAGTTCCCTGAGTCACCCGTGTCACACAGGCTGTTGGGAATCTGTGACTCGTTGGAGATGTTCTGTGGAGCCAGCTGCTGCTGCTGCTGGATCATGGAGGAACCCTGCACCTCACTGCATGCCATGGTCACCGGCTCCCGCGGCGGACTCTTGACCACAAAGCCAGGGTCGGTGGCCATGCTGAGGTGGATGAGCCGTGTCTGAGGCATCTGGTCGATGTTGATGCTGTATTTGCTCTCATCTTTGGGTTTGGCCCTCAGGGTGGATGTGTTGGTGGGAAGGATCACGTAGCTGGTGTCCATGGTCTGCTCTTGCGCCCGCGAGAGCTCCGAGTCCAACTTCTTGAAGATGTCCCCGTCGCAGATGTAGATGGATTTCGGTGGCTGGTTCTTGTCCTTCTTCAGCGTGAGGGAGTGGTTGCTGAACTCATTCAGGTTGATGGCCCCCAGGTAGTGTGGGGAGCCCTGAAGGTGCATCTTGGAGACGTTGGCTGGAAGACTGTTGAAGTTGGATGAGCCTTTCTGGTGGCTGAGCTTCAGTTTCTCTTCATCGGGCAGTGACGGGCGCTTCAGGGTCCCTGTGATGGTCGAGGTTCTGCACGTGGTGATGTCTTTGTTCAGCACTGGGGAGACAGACAAGCGTCCTCAGCACCTCACCTGGGGTTCTGTTGACACATCCAGACACCTCCCACAGCCACTCCCCACCAGCACCTCTCCCAGAGAGGCACAACGGTGTTTAAAATTATTTGTATTTTCAAAATCCAGGATACTGAAGGCAAAATTAGAGGTAGGGAGGAAAAAAAAAACTTTGTTATTTTGGGACAGCTCTCTGGGATGTGAGTTCTCCAACACAACCATGGCCAAAACTCCCATCTAGGCCAACATATTGATAACAACACATTGAAAACCAAAGAGATTTTTAGATATTTAGTACATCTCGTATATGCATGTATATATGAAATCTATACAATATTAGCCTGTGGAGTAGAATTCTTTAAAATAAAAAGTTGCTTTTGTGTAAAAAAATTATTTTGGTTCAGGAAATAACTGAAATACAACATTATCAATGATTCATACACCCATAAAATCATCAAATGGCCTGGGCTGGAAGAGAACTTGAAAGATCATTGAGTTCCAGCTCCCTTAAAATTTAATTTTTTGTATTAACTCACTAAAATACTTCAGGTTGCTCTTTTCCTTTAAGTTCCAGTGTCAATAAATTGATATTTTGAAATATACTGTATTTTATTAGGAATTTCAAACTGCTCTCCAAAAAAATCTTACATTCCAGTAACCATGGTAAGGCTTTTGTGAGAGCTCATTATTTAGCAATTTTCGATTTCCCTTCAGGAAAGCAAGTAGTGATGGGAATATTCCTTAAAAAGAGAAGAAAACTTTAAACTGAGGAGGAAGTGAACTCGTCATAAAGGACATTTGGACACCAATTCCCACACAACACTGTCCACAAAAAAAAACCAAAACCAAAAACATTTTCCCCTTTTCCAGGTATTTGCCCCTTTTCCAGACATAACAATCTATTGATCGGTTAACTTCAGGCTGCAACAAAGATCCTGGGAAAATAATGACATCAACCTTGATGTATCCATTGGGTGGGAAATCAGAAAACCGTGGGAATCAGGCTGTGGGGCAGGGACAGTGTTGTGGGCTACTTACCCAGGATTTCAGCACAGGAAAAGAGAAAGAAAGGAGGAAATAAAAGTAGGTAAATGGGTCTTTTTTTAGGACCATGGAGAAGGATTTTTGGGATGAGCTGACATTATTCAGCTGCTCCATGTGGGACAGAGGTGGGATGTGGGCATCTCATGGCACTGAGGACACACTGATTTTCCTACCAGCTCCGAGTGGGAGTGAGGGAAGATCAAAGCTCACCCCCCCAAGACTACAGAGCAGGCAAGGCAGGATGAGCAGGGCACCAAGGAGAATTAAAAGAGCTTGCAAAAAGATTTTAAAGCTACAAAACTCTGGCAGCCACGATCGTCTTGGCATCGCTGGGATAAATCAGAGCAAGTCAAACCCCTCTGCTGGGAGTCCCATCAAGGTTTATTGATCCAGGCTCTTCTCCATGCCCACGTCAGGTGCAGAAAATAGGTCTGGAGAGGTTTTCACTTGGCAATCTCCAAGCATGGAGAGGAGTGAGCTTTCAGCACCGAGCTCTGGAGCAAATCCTACGCGGGGATCAATGTTGGAGGGGTTATGAGTGGTCTCAGCCACATCTCCAGTCCACCACAGGAGGGGAGATGGTGCCTCCAGGAGAAATGATGGCCAGAAACCATTGGACAGGTTCCTGTTTTTTATTATTCAGTAAGCAGAGTGCGTGGGATAATGCACCACTCCAAAAGGTCTCTGAAATGAGGTTTATTATTAACCACTTATCTTGGCACAGCCTAATAACACTTTATGAGAGGAGGAGAATCTCCAGGCAAACAAATACAAATTGTAGAGCTGGATGCTGGCAAAGGAGGGGAAGCTTAGGCTGTTGGCAAGCTGCTGATCCAGGGGCTCCCGCCCTGAAATCACGTGAAACAAATCAGCTCTTTCCCTTTTTTCTGGGAAACTCTATTTGGGATTAAGAGGTGGGGTGGCAGATCCAGAAAGGCTCCTCTAGAGGAGGAATCTGGGATCTGCAGTGGTTTACAGCTGACTGTGCCTGGTGAATGTTCCCTGAGCATCCCCTCGACTCAGACATGGCCCCACACACACAATTTTCACACACGATTTTTTGGGACTGAGATATTTGGTGTCAGAAGAGAAGAAGGAAGACAAATGAGAAGAGGCTGACAGCTAGAAATTAGATTAGAGAGTGTGAGACAGAAAAGCAGAAAGAAAAAAAAAATGGACAGACCCTGAAAAGAGATAAATGGACAGAAAGAGACCATGAAATAAGATATCACAGGGGTAAGTGAGATAAATATACTGTGACTGTGATAAGCACAGGGAGAGGGAGTGAGGCAGAGAGAAGGACAGGAAAAGATAAATAAGATATAGATATTAGACAGATAAATGATAGTGACAGTGACAGACAATACACAGAAACACAGTGACAGGGACAAATGTTGACAGATAGAAATACATAAATAACAGGTACAGCAAGACAGACAGCTGAGGACAGAGATAAATAAGTGATTGCGAGACAGAACGAAAGAGATGAATTATAGATAAATACATTAGAAGCAGGTAAATAAATGATAGATGAGATAAAGAAAAAGATAAATGAAAAGGACAGGTAGATGTTTATAGAAAAAGAGACAGAGGAGGGGAGAATGAAAAAAAAGCAGGGCAGGGAAAGAACAAGAGAAAGAAAGAAAGAAGACAAGAGAAAAGGAAAGGAGGAAGGCAAGAAAGAAAGATGAATAAAAAGACAAAGAAGCTTTGCCGTAGTGGTAACTGAACACAGAGTGTGCTGTCCTTGGCTTGGGGAGATCCTGGTTTGGGAGATATGAATTATGCAATTTCCAAGCAAGCTGGTGTTTCTCTTGCTTGGCAGAAGGGAGAAGTCTGGGAAAATGAAAGCCTCAGTATCTATAAAAGGTAAGAAAAATAACCCCAGCCAATAGGTCAGGCATGCCAGGATGAGGAGAGGACGAGACCTGCAGAGAGGAGCACAGCCAGGGAGAATCCAGGCAGCACAGACACCCCTGGAATTACTGGGAAAACTCATGCACATCCTCTGGATCCAAAGGAGCCTGTGTGATGAACACATAGCAGAAAGAAGCAGGCACAGGAGGAGAGATCCAACCACCTCCAGGTGCACAGAGGAGCCTGGAGCCAGGTGGGGTGGTGGGAAGGCTCTCCAGATTCCAGACTTTTTTACAAAGACACCCTTCATGAGCATAGAGCTGCCTGAGGCTGGCGTTCCCCTTGTTGCTGGAACAAAGAAGGATCGCAGTAGGAAGAGATGGATCCCATCTCTTCTTCCTCAATGCTCTTCTCTGCCACCCTGTTTCATGGCAAAAAACAACTCCTCAGAGGCAAGGTTTGATCTCAGTTAAAATGCCAAAAGAGCTACGGGAAAATAGGAAAAGCAAAGGGAGAATTCAGGGTGTTGCTTTCTTTTGGCCAGGGTTGAAAGGAAAGGAAAGGCAACCCACGCGAGGACATGCAAGGCACCGAAACACAAACAAAGGAAACAGAAAGGGGGAAAAAAAAATGGCCTAGTTCAATCCCCAAACCAGGTCACTTGCTGATTCTCACCTGTGATGTGCTCACCTGATCTACAAGCCATGTCCACGTCCTTCTCGAAATCGGTCTGAAAGACAAAGAACACAGAGAATGTGCTCAAAAGGGGGTGGTGAAGGACAGGAAAACTTGGAAAATGCAACACCCCCACTTTAATTAGTGAGGTAGGCACAGCCTTTGCCAGGAGAGAGGTTTTGTTTGGATTTTAAAACATGGAAAACATGCCACGTTTTTACACCAGTTGGCTTTTGAACTTTATCACTGATAAAGCTGGAACATTGCTTTTCAACTGGGCTTCACCTGCTCATCCATTCACTTATTCCTGGGCTGCAGATTAAAATATCTTGCAGGAATACATTTATGCACACTCCTAAAAAAACAGGGAACAGGTTCCTGGCCCAAACTGTTTGGAATATAAGTGGATTCCCCACCCTTTATTAAAGAGATTTGGGGACCCTGCTGGGAATGCTCCACCCCCACTGGGCCTTCTTGTGATCTGTCACCAAGTCACATGAAGTGGGAACAAGTCTCTGCTTCTGAAACTCTTAACATATAAAATCAATGGCTCCCACAGGCACAAAGGCTGAATAACTTTTTCAAGTGGTCTGTGCAGCCAAAGGGAACTCCTTTCTTCTCTCAGGAGGAGTTAATCCTTTTTCTGAAGCTTTGAGCAGATAACATTTCAAAGAACTGGATAAACTGAGTCACAGCAGGCCGTGAGCTTTCATGGAGTAATGGGGAAGCTGCACACTGGCAAAAGGTAGAAGAGTTCGCTGATTATTTCTGGTATCATTTCAGAAAGACATTTAATGTAACTGTATTAATGTGATGAAATTAAATCCATTTTAATACTGAGAAGAATGTGGGAAAAATCCCCATCCCCCTGGGATAAACACTTTAATATTAACAGGTTGAGAGCCAAGTGTTTTTGAACTATCTCAGCCATCCTGATGTTAATTTCCCAGTAAATTCTTTGGGATATCAAACAAATCTGAAAAGAACAGAAGAGAAATATGACTGAACTAACATTCAAATGGGAAAATGGGATGACACACAGAAATATAATCTCATTTTCATGATAGGAGTTCCAGAAAAATGCAGCTGAACACCCTGCACTAGGTTCTGCTGATAAACAAATGAAAGACAGAAATATGAAATATATTCATATTTAATACCAGTCAACAAGATTTTGTGGGGAAAACAGTTCTACTCAGCTAAGCTCCCTTTCACTAGTTGGGCAGATTTGGAGATAAATGGAAAATGTAACAGCAAAAATGCCATCCTGCAAAAGCTTTTGATTTCTCTGGTGATTTTACAACAAAATAACATTGTACCCCTCTAAAAATACCAGTGAGGAGTCATCACTCACAGCCAGATTCCGCAGCTTTTTGTGCTGGAATGTGAGGAAAGTGATTGTAAGCTCCCTGCTCCCCCACACACCCATCAGCAGCGCAGGAGGAAATGCAACATTGCTAAAAATCTCGTAGCTGACTCGGAATTTTGCAAGGTGGATGATAATGAATGGAAATGTGGAGTTGTACAGAGAAGCAAAACCCTGAAACTTGTGGCGGCGACGACAGACTGACAAAAACAGGATCCACTTTCTTTCCAGGATGCTGAGAATCTGGAGGGGGTTATATAAATAATTTGAAGGGACGTGATTTACAGAGGGAGAATAAAAAAGCTCTGGGTGTTAACTTAGGGAAAAGAGGATTGAGACTGGGTGTGATTACGGTGTCTATTGAAGAAGCCAAAGCACCAGGCATGCAATAATCACCCAAATTAGGCAGAGTGAGAACCTGTCTGAAAATGAGAAGACTCTGCATTTACATGAGCAATGAGGCACCTGTTTTTAGCAAACACCACCGAGGTGTGGTGGAATTAAACCTCTGTTGATGTCCTGACTCCAAGATTGTGCTGTTTGAAATGAGGCCTCGTACCCAGGCAGAAACTGCTCAGCACAGGAGTGACAGGAAAAAAAACATCTCTGGGTTGTGCTGTAGTTCTAATATTAACCAGGAGCTTTTGGAAGTTGCTCAAATCCTCTGATTCCCCTGATATCTTTATCTTAACCTCTGAAATGAAATGTTTCTTGCATCAACTACATCATAACAGTGGAGCAGATGCAGGGCAAAGCCCCACAGCTTATTCCTTTACTGTTTGCAAAGGACTTAAACAACAGGACCACAATTTGCAGAGCTTAAACTATTTCCAGTGAAGCAAAGTATGCTCTTGAGAGAAAAAAAAAATCCCTCTGAGACAGCATTTTTATGATAATAACCTATCAGACTGTGATTAAAACAGTATTAAACTACTACTTCCTAGCTCCAGTCAAGGACAAGGCAGCTTGATGGGGATGAAAAGGTCTGGAAGACATGGGAGGTGTATTGTGGTTCTTTATTTTTCTGGGAAAGAAAGGATCTCACCAAGACCTCTGCAAAACCTGGTGTGTGAGTTTGAGAACCTTAAAATTACAGCGCAACACCCTGGATTTGTGTGAAAACATCCATTTTAAGTGCTGTGTTTGTTCAAGTGAAAGTTTAAAGGAATTAAGAATGGTGAATTCAGGATCTGTGATGGACAGAGCCTTCTGTTTGCAAGTTATGAGTTAAAAATTCCTATAAACCCCTTACTAAAAACTAAACCCCTTACTATAAACCACTTACTAAAGGGGAAGTGGGAGATTTCCCTACCATTAGCTGAGCGTGTCCGTTCTGAAATGACCCCCCTGAGTCCCCATTCCCTTCCTCCTGACGATCCACAACCCGGCACTTCACGGCATCCTGGACCTGCAGGAACAGATCGGCAAAGGTCAGAGTCAGACTGACGAAACCACATCGAATTCTGCTGAAATCCAAAATAAAAACAGCTGTTGTTAGATCAAAAGGACGCGGGCCCTGCTTTAGCAGCATCCAGGCACTTCTTTCACATGGTTTATGTGTTACATATTTCACACACTGAAGAGTAACTCAGAGGTTTTCCAGAAATCCTGGGTCACTGCCTAGGTCGTTTCTATTTCCTTGATTTATACAGTCAGGAATAAAAATGTCCTTTATTTTGCAGCTTGCAATATGTTTACAATGGGTGCTCCCGCATTAATCATTGTATTGGTGTCTACAAAGTCTGATGATGATGCTGTAATATAAATCTGATCCAAACTCACTGAAATAATTGGAAAAAAACAAAAATCTGGGTGACTGCAATGGGAGTTAAATGCAGACTCATATTCATAATGCAATTATTGGAAGGAGTCTCAGCCAAGCCAGTGGTGTAATTCTATTGATTTCATTGGCCATAATTTCATTAATTTTCATAAGAAATTAATCTGTTTTACTTAATTTAAAGGAACTGTAAGTAGATAAAATGAGGATTGAAAAAAAAGTCCCTTCCTGTCTCTGTTATTAATAGTCTCTCCACTCTGTAGGATGAAAAGAATAAAAGAAACATAAAAGATTCGTCCTTTTCTTCTCTGATATGATTCACCATTTTAAATCTCCACAGGGAGGCTGAAGAGAATTTTCTCAATTTCCTTGCCTGATTATTGCTGGCTGCACTTCCTAGCTGGAATATCAAGGTGTTAATGCCAGCACAGATTTCATCCTGCAAATCTCAGTGCATCTCGCCTCCCTTGAAATCACACAAATTACTTCCTTAAGGTGGCATTTTTGGAGGTGGGGTTGTGAGCATTCTGGAAATGGGAATTTTGGTGGTAAACAAGCGAAGCCTGACATGTTATCCCATCTCAGGCTGCCCACCAAACTCTACCCTGATTCACCCTTCCCTCTGATCAAAAATGGTCCTTTTTGTGGTCATCATCTCCCCAGTGGAAAAAATGTGTAGGGTTAGAGAAGTTATCAGACTGGCTGGGCACTTTTCCAGGCGATTTTTATGGGAAATAATGTTAATTATATAACAGATAACAACTCCTCCCTCTCACCTCCCGCCTGAGGATGCAGTGGACCATGACGATGACAAATCCCTCCAAGGAGTCGAAGACTGCAAAAAGGATCTGGAAAAGCGCCGAGCGCCGGTCAGTGATGGCCAGGACTGCGGACATCCAGGTGAGAGCCAGCAGGGGCAGGACCACGCAGGAGCTCCAGAGGGATGCCCTGTCAAGGCAGAGGGAAAGAGAGCTCAGCTCCACCTCACCCACTCCCAGGTGGGGTTTTAATTCAGCCTCCCCATCCCACCGGGCTGCGGAAGGTTTCTCCAGCCAACATTTCCATGTGGGAGACCTTTCCTGAGCCCTTCTCCCAGGGAAGCAGGAAAAGGCTTTGCACACTCATGCTACCCAAACAGGGGGACAACTTCCCAACGGTGCAGTCATGCATAAAACTGGAGGTGGGGAGGAAGGATGCGGATCCCTCCCTCCCCCTTCCACGCCCTTCCCGCTCTGCCCCTAATCCACCACCACGGCTTTTCCCAAGGGAAGGAGACAAAATACAATCACTGCAGGTTGCCAAGGGGGAGGGGAACAGTTGCAGCAGAGACTGGTCTGTCACGATGGCTGTCGGCACTTGGGTCACAGACACTTGGACTTCCACAGCACATGGAAGACACCAACACTGGGACGTGTCACGCTTTCCAGTGACTCAAACGGACAGGCAGAGAGCTGATGTGCAGACTGAAATATTTGTATTTCTCCTTTAATCTACACACGATGGCCTCCACGACACTGAGAACTAAAACCTGGCCTCATTTCCCTGTGGTCAGAGAATTTTCAGCTTTTTTGTGCGATCTCCCCAGACGATGCTTTGGGAAAAAACAGAAAAAAGCTTTTTGTTCCCTGTTTGACAACTCTTGTAAGTTTATTCCTGTGTGGACATTAATTTGAGATTCAAGCCACATCTTCATTCACAAGACAGAAAGCCGGACAAAACAAGTTTTCTGTGCTGCTGCCCCAGGAATCTCCACTTTAGCTGGGAATGATGGCCCTGCAAATGGGAAAGCAGCTCTTTTCCCAAGGACTCTTTAGGCATCCATCTGTCCAACCAAAAAAAAAAGATCCCAAACAATTTTAACAGCTGGCGAGAGAGATTTTAAGCTGTCGCTCATCCCATCTATTTGGGAAACTCAGAGAAGAGTTTCTCTGTGGGTTTTTACCTAACAAACCAGAGAAGGCCTCGAATAACAAGTGGAACTACAAATAAACCTCCAAATACAAACAAATACAGGCAAGACAAGAAATTACAGGACAGATACCATGAAACACGTTTTGCAGTACTTACATTGGACTTGCTCACCATTTCCTGATCTATGACCAAGGGTTTTATGTTTACTTGCTGGTTACCTCACAGACCTCAGGGAGAGTTTTACCTGAACAAAGCTGGAGCTTGGATACAGGTTTGGACATCAAGATAGAATGCCCTGGCTTCATTAAGGGTTTTTCAAGGATTGTTACATCAGTTCTGCAATGACCACACACTGAAGTGACAGTTTATTTTTACAGTTAGAATGAGACCCTGTTTGCAAATATTTCTACAACCTGCCCACACTCGGATCTATTCCATCATGGAATTATTAAGGAATTTAATTTATCTAAAGGAGCAGGGAAATGGAATTATTTTTCTTCTTAATTACAACAAGCATTATGAGACCTCTGTGCAAGGTAAAGGCCATGACATAATCTGATACCTTGTAATTTTATCTTGGATGGCAAATGCTATTCTTTAATGCTCAATACGAACTATGATTTTGAAGTATTATTAAAAAATACCAAAAAAACCCAGTAGACAGCCCTCAACCTAACAACTCTGAAAGAGGAATTACTTATTCCAATTCTCTGAAATCTGCCTTATTACACTGAAATCTCTCTCTGCTGTCATTTTTGGTGGTGCCTTTATAAATCTGGCTAAGCAGCAAGTGCATGAAAGAAAAAATCTGAGAGGCAGAAAAGCTGAATGGAAAGCTAAGATTTGGCAGAGAAGGAACCTCTCTAGATGTGTCTTCCATTCAAGGATCAGCCAAAACAACATGGCTGAGTAGACAAAATAATTACAGCAGCAAGGAGGAACCATAAAATTCAATAAAAGCTTCTGGAAAAAGTCTGCAAGAGACAACTCTGCTTCCTGGAACTATTTGGTCTTCCAAAACACTCTTGGTACACCCATTCTGTGGATGTTACTGCCACCAATGTGCAACAGGAAACCTGGCAATGGACCTGACCCAGGTCTGAACCAAACATCCAAATCTGGGTGGGTTTTCCATTTCTGGAAAGAGCTGCAGACGCATGATGACAATGATCTGGATCTGGGTGCCAGACTTAGATGTGGATTTGTGGTTTTAAGGGATGCTGCTGAGAAGGTAAATGATATGTAAATTATGTTTCTCTTCAGCAAATGGTCAGATTTGAATCCACTGGCTTCAGAGCCTGCTTTAAGAATGAATTGTTTGAGTCAATTTGCTCTGCCCTTCCAACCAGATGATAAAAACATCATCTGCCCTTCCAGATCAGCTGATGACCGCATATTCAGCTGGATCAAATCAGGATTTTCTTAAGTTGTGCTGACTTACATCAGCTCAGAGTTCTGCTCTCTTTGTGATTCACCTTCCAGATGCCTTCTCAACAGCACTCATCCCTTAGAAAATTGATGGAAATTCTGCTTGCTACTTAAATGCATCATCTTTATTCTCAGGCAGCAGGTGGCAACAGGTCACAGGAAATGGAACTCACTCTAATTTCACTTGCAGGGCTCTGCTTAGGTTTTCGAAATATTAAACTCCAAACTAAAAGTTCCATTAAAGAAATCTGGTAAGGACTGAAATTTCAGGTGAAAACTCATGGAAAGACAAGTGGGTTTTCTGTGAGACTGCCCTTAATTCTACTTGCCGTAGCTGAATTCGTAGCAGGACTCATACTTCTATCACCTTCCCAGTTGTCCCTTTTTTCAGGAGGCACAGGGAATCCTTAAAAGATCCCAGAATTATTTATAGGACCTAAGAAATATCATTTTAGGGTGCTTATCATGGGAAGTGACATGAAATGATCAATGGTTATAGAACGACATTGTGACCACCTAATGGCTTTTCATGAATTAGCCATGATCAATAAATCCATTATTTTTATTGCTTGGGATAAAGAAATTAGCTAGAAGATCCTCTTATTTATCCCATTTATGACAGCCCTCAGGACAAGTGACAGCAGCATCCCATCTGCGGCTGGAAAAAGACCTCCAAGATCGAGTCCAAATCTTTTCCCACCACTAAACCATGTCCCCAAGTGCCACATTTACACAGCTTTTAAATCCTTCCAGGGATGGGGACTCCACCATTTCCCTGGACAGCCTGTGCCAATGTTTGATCATCCTTTCAGTGAAGAAATTTTCCCCAGTATCCAACCTGAACCTCCCCTGGTGCAATCTGAGGCCATTTCCTTTCATTCTGTTGTTTGACAGGAGAAGAGACCAACCCCAACCTGGCTCCAACCTCCCTTCAGGGAGTGATAAAGTCCTCCTAATCCTCCTTTTCTCCAGGATAAACCATCCCAGCTCCCTCAGCCACTCCTAATGTGCTCTAAAACATGGGATCTACCATGGGAAACACTCAGCCTTATGAAAACACACACCAGACCCTGTCCTGGCAGCAAGGATTTGGCCAGAATTAAAAAATCTATCTGTGGTTTTGTCCTTTACGTGGTTGGAAGCATGGGGAGTCTTTTTCTTTTGCAAAAGAAGCAGAATAAATGGATTGCACTTTGAGGAAAGCAATGGAAAGAGCAAAAAGAATGGGTTTGGAGATAAAGATCTACATGAAGAAAGATGAAGAGTCCTGCACCCTGAGAAAAGAAAAGTGCAGGGGGACACACAGGACATGCCAATAAAGATGTAAAGGGCCATTAGGAAGGGCAAAGTGATCAATTCTTTTCATTACTCAACCCTGGCAGAGCAGCAGCAACTTAAAGATGCAGCAGAAGGAAAAAAATCACTTTATAATTCAAAACCAGCTCCTGGATTGGAGCTCTGAAAAGGGAATTGGTCGCTGGACTCAACACATAATGGATGGCTCCTTACACACCAGCGCTTCTGCTGCAGGAAAATCACAGCACAGGGATTATTTATTTATTCTCTCATGCTTCTCTGCTCCTCTGACTTGTATTCACAGAATTACAGAATCATGGAATGATGTGGGCTGGAAGGGACCTTAAAAATCATCTAATTCCACCCCACTGCCATGAGCAGGGACACTTTTTGTTAGACCAGGCTGCTCACATCTCCATCCAACCTGGCTTTAAACACTTTTTAATCACTTAAAAACTGTTCCTCCCAAAAGCAAGAGTGTTGTCCACATTTTAAGGGCACTTGCAGAGCAAATCCCCTGTAACTCAATGCCCACATAACCGAGATGGGAAACCTGTAACTAGAAAAGAGGGGAAACTGCTTGCTCTTCCCATTCACAGACAAAAAAGAAACACCTGCTGTGATTTCTATTTTCCTCTAAAAGACGATTCTACTCCCAGCAGCTGCAATATAAGTAATAAAATTAAGGGAACAGGAAATCAAATGCCTTGAAATTGCCATGAGCACCTGGTCTGGTGGAAAGTGTTCGTAGTGGGGGGTCTGGAATGAGATGAACTTAAGGGTCCCTCCCAATCCAAAGCAATCTCTGATGATTTTATGACACGAGACAGGCAGGTGATGAGGCAGCTGTGACCAAACTGCTTCATTATTCACCTTTAATTAAGTAAAGTGTTCTCTCAGAGTCCAACAAGGACTTGCAGGATCCAGGTATTATCCCCAGGTAAGGATAGGATTTCAAATTCCTTCAAGCATGAGGATAACACCCTCCTGAGGAACAGTCTCCTTCCCAGACCAGCCACACATGGAAGCACTGACTCACATTAATCCTGGAATTACAATACAGGCAGAAAATTTGACATCCATGACTCCCTAAAAGGATATTGAGCCAAGAAAAAGGGCAAAACTCTTAAATGGGAGATTTGACATGTGAATTCCTAAGGGTTTAAGAGGAATGATGATGATAAGGGTCACGAGGAACCCCTGATATTGGGTCTTGGGTGGGGTGCCTGGAAAAATACACTGTGCCAGGCTTTTAGTTTTGAGCCAATCTCTTCCCCTTGGTCAGAGCCTGAAAATCCAAATTTCCAATGAGCTGCTAGACAAGAATTCATAAAACCATGGAATGGTTTGGGTTGGAAGGGACCTTAAAGATAATTTAGCTTCAACCCTCTGCCATGGGCAGGGACACCTTCCACTAGACCAGGTTGCTCACAGCTCTGTCCAACCTGGCCTTGGACACCTTCAGGGATGGGGCATCAACTTCCATCTGTCCATCCATCCATCCATCCATCCCTCCATCCATCCATCTCCCATCCACCCATCCATCCATCATCCATCCATCCATCTATCCATTCACCCATCATCCATCCATCCATCCATCCATCCATCCATCCATCCATCCCCCATCCATCCATCCATCATCCATCTCCCATCCATCCATCCATCCATCCATCCATCCATCCATCCATCCATCCATCCATCATCCATCCATCCATCCCTCAGCACTCCCTGGTATCTGCAGTGGATTCCCTCGTTCACAGCAAGTACCAAGAAAAGCCAAGCCCCTGAGACACATTTTGCATCTCAGGTAAAATAATTTTCACAGGTAGCAAAGACAAATTAATCAGAAGGCAACATTTTGCAGCCTGAGGGTGCCCTACAGGCAGCAATAAATGGGAGGAAATGTGGGAACAGAGGTCCTCCAATGGCAAAACCTGCCCAGGATCTTCTTCATCAGAGCCTAAAGAGAAGGATTCGTTTAACCCACACCTGTCAAGTCCAGCTAACACCTAACAGGTCACAGAAATCCAAATATTTCCATTTATTATTGCCTAGGTCAAGAAATCGCATCATTTCCAATACTTATTTTTCCACTTGTGTCACTTTTCTCTCCCATCAGTTCACCCTATTTTCCCTCCTTTACACATCCCCTTCTCTGACCACAAAGATTTCCAAAAGCCAAGAAAAACAGTCTAAAGGATCTATTTCTCACTCCATGCTTTCCTAGAAATAAACCTCTGGAACCTACGGAAGGGAAGCTGGGGAGGCGATGAGCAACAAGGCAGGAACACCTTTGATGTGCTCTGCAATAAAAAATTATGGCTCATTCCAGGTCAGGGAGGAGCCAGGAATCTTCATGGCATTTAATCCACATTTCAAGACTCCAAAACTGAACATCAAAGCTGCTGCAAAGTCTGGGAGGAGGGAGCCCAGCAGAAGGGTGGAAGTGGCAGTGGCATAAAGCATAATCAGAGTTTTGCCTTTTTGGCAACCTCATTTATAAGAAATTTGGAGGAGGAAAACCAGGAATTGTTCAGCTGCAGGATGAAGTGGACCACAAGGGGAAATGAGTGAACTTATTTGTGTACTCCTCAGTGTTCCCTTAGCAAGGATAAGAGCACGGGACACTTGAGGACAAACAACAAAATTGATACTGGAAACTGTCATCTGAGGTACCCAATCTGCTGGGAAACCAAACACTAAAAAATCCTTCTACAAGAGCCCTCCAATTTCTATCAATCCACTTAAATTACAGAAGCAGGATGAATAGGAGATCTGGCTTTCATATCTTTTTTTTCTCCCGATTTGGAGATGAATCAGAATTTGTGATTTATCGCAGACCAATGTCAGACACTATTGGAGAGGGACTTGAGACTGTTTTAACTTTTAAAATTAATTTACTATGAACAGAAAGCCTCTCCTATTTAAGAGTTTAATTTATTAATAGTGAATCTTCTGCTGATTTAACATTGCTCTACAGTTACAGGAATCCAAAAAGCAGTGAGCTGCTCATTCCAGATGTGTGGTACACATGTCTGGACCGATTCCATCTCACCATCTCAGCTGGGCCCTGCTGCAAAAGGTGAGTAAACGACCTTAGCAATGAAAAATAAATCAAATTTTGTTCAGTTCTTCATTTCACTGAGAAAACCACAGAATTATAAAATGGTTTGGGTTAGAAGGGGCCTTAAAGAACATGTCATTCCAACCCACTGCCACGAGCAGGGACACCTTCCAGGTGCTCTTGAGCTGATTTTCTTTTATCTTTCTACATTTTGAGATCTGACATTTCTGCTCCCTCTTTTAGTTCATACTAATTAAAGGTAGGAATTTTCAAACTGCAAATGATCTGAGACTGTTTCCCTCACACGTTTTGCATGTACTAATTTAGACATCAAAACCAAAGTGTAGCATCACTTGGATGTGATACAGATAATAAAATTGCCAAAAGGGAAGGAAGAAATACAAATCTTCCCTCATTGCTCTCTCTCTAACCTTAACCTTTGGGAAAAAAAAGCGCCAACCATACAAATAACAACTATTTCTCCAGCAGAACAAAGCTTTGTTCTTCTTCTTATTATTATTTTTTTAAAGCTAACTCCAGCGGCATCTAAGAAGAGATTTAACAACATTTGACTTTTGCAACTCAGAGCAATGAAACACTTTAAGATTTTGAGAATTAATTCCAAGTGCTTTCAGGGGTCCAAAAGAGGCAGTCAACACCTATCAAATCAGACCTCCAGGCCTACAAGGTATTCAACTCAACTTCAGCATTTCATAAGAGGAGAAAAAACCCACTCAGAAGTGATTCACCAACTCACTTAAACCACACTCAGTGCTCTGCAGCCTCTGAGGAAAACACTCAAGCAGGTGCTCAAGTGGCTGACAAAGCTGGGTTTTGGAGTCCCTGTCTAGCACCAGAATTACTGGGAATCACCGCTTTAAATCTGGAACTCCAAGAACGGGGCATTAAACAAATTAAACAAATTAAACATGGCTTGCAACAAATGCAGAGTCCCTTTGTCTTCCATGGGCTGCTCACATGCTTAAATCTTAAATCTAGGCATGTCAAAAAGCGCTTTTCAGGATCCAGCCCATCAGCTCCAGGGGTGTTGCAGGAGCCCTGCTCTACTCATGGCCCAGAGAATGAGGTTGGGGAGAGCTGGGGGATGTTGGGGAGGTGGGCAGGGAGATGGGGAGAGAAAACAAACACGGGCTGGTGAGTGCAGGGAAATGGAAGAGGGAAATAAAAAAGGAACTGAAAAGTGAAAATCAAAACCAAAACACAAACGAAAAAAAGAAAGTGGAAAGAAAGAAAAGAAAGAAAAGAAGGAAAGAGAGAAGGAAAGGAAGAAAGGAGGGAGGGAGGAAGGAAGGGAGGAAGGAAGGAAGGAAGGAAGTGGCGGAAGGAAGTGGCGGAAGGAAGGAAGTGGCGGAAGGAAGGAAGGAAGTGGCAGAAGGAAGGAAGTGGCGGAAGGAAGGAAGTGGCAGAAGGAAGGAA